AGAAACAGTCTGACTCATTCAGATTTCAGACTTAAAAACAAACAGTCTGACTGATTCTGATTTCAGACTTCAGCACCACCTCTTAAAAATCAGAAGTGAAATCAGACTTCAGACTTCAGACTTCAGCACCTCTTGAAAAACAAACGCTACCTTAATCTTTTACACAATCTACATTATATTATAAAGCATTTGATAAAAACTCTGAAAAACCATTTTATATACATAAAATACTGTTTATTGATGCATATTACTTAAAATTCAAGATTACAAGTAAATAAGGCATAAGATAACTTACTAGTTGTGTACCCACGCATTGCGGCGGGATGTGAAATTTTGAAAAGACGTAAGCAAGCATATCGATTACAGATAAAGATTTGTATTTGAAATTGTCAGGCTCTACTCTATTGATTGTTTCATATTCAATTGATTTAAGAGAAACTGATACAATCCACTAATCTATTTGATATTGAAATTCGACAACCGATTGATTGTTTCATATTCAATTGATTCTCTTGAACGGGGTGACCCTGTTAGTCCCGAAGGGAATGGCAATAAACAGAAAGTAATTGTAGAAGGGGGGGTTGAATAAAATTACATAGACTTTTTTCAACTTTTTAATTCTTATTGATTTATATCAAGAATTAATACACACAGAAATACAAAAGATTGTTGTGGAAGATAGGAAAGGAAAACCTAACCTAAACAATCTTACAAGGAGAAGAACTTTCAAGAACAACACAGAGAGTTCTTGAAAGGAAATGAAGAACACTAAGAATTTCTTCGCACACAGGAGAGCAAGGGAGTAGAAGAGAATAGCCGATTGCTTTTAGAGTGCACTGAGTAATCTTGCAAAAGCCAGTTTTGTGCATGGGAGATGCACACTGCCTTTTTATACTACCTTCAGCATTTAATGCATGGGGACACTTGTCACTTKAGGATAAGAAGGCAGGGGTTGACTTGACCAATGTTGATATCTCATTTTCATCGTACACAGCATGCATACAACACAGTTCATGCAGAGACAAACTTACACAGTTCATGCAGAGACAAACTTACACAGTTCATGCAGAGACAAACTTTGCAGAGATATGGTTAGTCTGTAGGAAGATCTTCTTTGGATGGATATGTAGCTTCAAGCAGCTACACACAAATCTTCGGTCCATGGAGATTTT